GTAGGATCTCCAGTTCCCTTAGGTTAGCCTCGTTATAAAGGTTGAATAAATCCAACGATAGGACACATCCTTGTCTTACACCCGTTTCTATTTTGTGTCCATAGCTGACAGTCCTCGCTTTCTTCTACTACACTCTCTAGAAGGCCCTGTAGATTTCTTTCGGAGTCATCCATCAACACCGTGTCATCTGCGTATCTTATTTCACTAAGATTACTCTCACCGATAACAAATCCTGATAGCGTCTTCAGTTCCCTTGCGATAGCCTCACTGTAAAGTTTGAATAAATTTGGGGAGAAGACGCACCCTTGACTCACGCCCCTTTCAAATTTTATAAAGGTACTCGTTTTATTTTCCATCCCTATGCAGGTGGTTTTTCTCCCAGATCTGGATTATTCTAACGTCCTTTCCAAATAGATCGAGTTTTCCCAACAGTTCAAATAGATCCTTGTGTAGTATAAACTAGGATCTTCCAAAATGTAAATGTAACCTTAATGTCATCTGATGTCTCCTTGAATCATGTCCCGTTATTGTCCTTTCTCACTTTCTTTCACACTAAGTAACCTCTTGTATCTCTGACGTTTATCACTTTGTTTGAGGGGGGGGATGATTAATAAAAAAAAAATCTCCTTATCCTGTTGCTACAAAGATTTCCTTTTGTTTCCGGTTTGCTAAAAGTGAAAACTTGATCTGTAAGTCTGTTATGGTGAAACACACCTATTCTATAGTTAATAGACTCTCCCACCTAATATAAGTAGGAGTAGTAAGAGAAACGACGGTCAGTCGATGTCGGACATTCTGAGCGACTGATCGGTTCACCTCTGTCTCCGGACGGAGAGGAACCTGAAGGAGGCTACGCCGAAGGGCGGAGTCTCCTTCGGGAGATAAAATGGCCCAGAACCCGTTTATACGGGTTCAAATGGGCTATTTTGGCCGAGCCTAATGGCTCGGGAATGCCCACGTTAAAAAGGCCTTGTGAACGTGGGGGGTGAGGCAGTCGATGACGACCAGCTGAACGGTTGAAGCTTCTCGTTGCCGAAGGGCAGAGGGTTCGGGAGGTAAACCGAACCTGAACCCGTTTATATGGGTTCAAAGGGTATATTTTTTGCCCGAGCCCACGGGCTCGGAGATCCCACGTTAAACCGGCCTCGTGCCATTTGATACCCTCGTGGTGGTGGTGGTGGGGGGGTGACTAAATACTAGTCGATGTCAGACGACCGGCTGAACGGTTGAACTCGCTGCCTTCGGGCGGGGAGGAACCCGAACGAGGCTACGCCGAAGGGCGGGGTCTCGTTCGGGTAGGTAAACTGACCCTGAAACCGTTTATACGGAGATCCCACGTTAAACCAGCCTTGTGCCACATGATACCCTCTTGGGGGGTGACTAAATACCAATCGATGTCAGACGACAGTTAGTCGAATACGAAAGTAGTCAGCGACTACAACAAGCTTACTCTGCGTAATACCTATTATATCAAGTTCCTAGCGATTTGTTAGTCGAACCTATTTTAGGACCAATTTAGTACAAATACAAGCCTCCACTGCGAAATAACTCCACAACAAAGTCTAAAAATGTTTCGGCAGACCAACATTCTCTAGAAGGTCCTGTAGATTTATTTCGGGTTGGGCATCAACACAGTGTCATTTGCTTATCTTATATTGTTCAGATTACCCCCCAGTCTCCAGTTTCCTAAGGATGATCTCGCTTTAAAGGTTGAATTCCCCTTTCTACTTTTGTGTGGCTACTCAGTTCATTTTCTATCCCTCTGTATGCGTTTTTCCCCTCTCAGTATAAGTTCTGGTTTATTCTAGCATCTTTTCAAAATAGACGTAGTTTCCCTAGCAGTTCAAAAGTATTTATTTAGTAAACTTAGTTGAGGTGCCCTTGGAAATCGAATTCCCTACAGCAATGCAAGACTAGTTTGCTAATTGTCACACTATTGTAGGTTCCCTTCTTAGTAAGATCTGCGTAGTCTGGCACAGGGCCAAATGAGGGATTGTGTTGTGTCAATCTACCTGGTAAAACAAAAAAAAATCTGGCTGGATGCCGGCAGTCTGGTGAATTTTCATGTGACGTTTTAACTTTTAGCACTCTGCATTATTAATATTACTTCCCTTTCCACTGCATTGTTTTTCAATTGCAGTAACTTAATTTTACTCAAAGTTGTTTTCTGTTGCCATAGCAGGATATGACAACACCGCTATAAAATTCAAACAAATTCAAATTCAGAGAGCAGAGTCACCTTCAATGGCAGGATAAAAGTTTTTGCATAGCAAATGAAATCACATACAGAGTGATAAAGGTTAAACCACCTTAGCTTTGGACAATCGTACCATATTCCGGTAATTGCTTACAACAGGTTAGTGAATTCTGGTTTGAATGTTGTGTGGTCGCTGGTGAAAAAAAAAAGGGTTTATAACTATCTGGAAGGGATATACAGAAGTTCCTCGGGTTACATCGGACCTGACGTACGGCGTTTTGTGGTTACGGCGCCATCTCCCATAATATAATTCGTTGTCGCGCGGCATTATATGAGGAAGACAGCGTTGATTCTTCACAGGCTATACGCCATATTGAATTGTGTTATATTCCCTATCTCTCGTTTGTGTCGATTTTGGGAACATTTTGCCCTTCATTATGACTCCCAAGCGTAAGGCAGAATCGTGGGTGTTTATGTAGGTGAGTTCCGACCTACGTCGAAAATCAGGTTACGTCGCGCCGTAAGAACGGATCTCCGACGTAAGCCGAGGACCCCTGTACATTTAACTTTGTTTAAGCTTTATGTCAAGTCCTAAACCAACGAGAAAAATTGGTAGGTATTGTCAGTCAAACTGAATAAAACATGCTTGAATATATCAGAATTATAGGAAGCATTATAGGAATTCAAATTTCAGTTGATTCTATTTCGATGACTTGATAAAAAACAGAAATCCATCTTCCTCCAGATATGAATTAAATAGCATGGCAGACTGGTCACTCTTGCCTTGAACGACAACTCTTCTAGAAGGGAAATTTCGAATTCAGACCTGGTGGGAGACTTTGTGGCACATTGTTCACTATTTCTTTGTTATCCTTTTTTCCGAAATGTGGGTCTGGTTCTCCACAAGCCTTCTTCACTATTAGATGGGAGACCGCTTTGAAATAGCAGGCACTTGGATGTGTGGGTGGTTTGTTAGATAATGGCTAAGAATTGTTAATCGGAGAGCCGAGTTTCAATTTCAAATGAGTTCGCTATATTCACTTACGCACAAATTGTTGGAATTTTGGGTACCCTGGTGTACTAGTGAGCCAGCCAAAATGAGCTGACTCATTTTATAGTTCACCAATAGAAGGGTTAACCAATCAGAAGGCTCAAAATATTCAATACGACGTGTATAAAGGCGGCCATGTTTTTTTCCGAATATTCACTGCCAGCCTTTGATATCGAAGACTGAAGAATTACAGAACAGCTGCTGGTGGTATTGGCGATATAGTCAGATTCAGTAGAGTGTCTGACTCGCGAGTGTTTATCTTTAACGTTGTTTCATTGAACAGATTACGTACTGCGCTGGATTCTATATTCATAGACTATGGTGAACATGGTCAACACAAATACCCTTGGGAAAGCTATTAACCCATCTCTTCACCCTCCAGTTATGGGTTAATTAGTAAAACTTGTATGACTAAAACAATTATTATATTCACCCCAAATAAAATAAACAACAATAAAATTGCGTACAGAATATTTAGATGTCGGCATTAAATAACCCATAGAAGTGTTGATATGCCACTAAACAAAAACAACCAACTAACTATAATCAACATTACTGACTTTGAATGCGGATGTTCATTGGTGTCAGACGAGCGGAGGTGTATTTCAAAGACTGATGATCTACTTGGGGTCATAGGGTCGACGGCGATATCTTTCTTTCAGTGGCAACCACTCGAGAAGAACGGTAACTTTGAGTCAAAACAATGTTTTTCCGGGTTGGGTCATGTTTAGGTACATGTTTTATCCTTAGATTTATAAAAATCTCTTTCTTGAAACAGTTTTTCAGGAAAATAAGTTCCTCAAGTCCAGTAATTGTTATCGCTCTTTCCACTATTAATGACGCTTTCCTTCCTAACCTTTTGATGGTCCTGCCTATGACCCATATTGTTCATTCGCTCGAAGACGTTTTTAATCATTGATTGGAGAAAAAACAACTGCTGATCTACTTAGGTTAAGTACTTTGCTTTCGGTGGAAAACATTCGAGAAGAACAGCAGCTTTGAATCAAAACTATCCCTTTCCAGGCAGGTTTATGTTTAAGTTAAGTACATGTTTTGTCCTTGGGGAATTTTTTTTGTTGTTGTTTTTTTTTTTTTTTTTTTTTGGCTTTTTCCGGACTGATTAAGCTCCATTACATTATAAAACCGAAGGAAGGCTACTCGGAGCTTTCGTCATATACTAGGAACTCTTTATCTGTTCTTGCGAAAATAAAAAAACACTATAATCAAATCGTGTGTCTAGATCGAACTGTTGGACTCTCATTCGTTGAAAAAGATCATTATATATATACATACATATATATATATATATATATATATATATATATATATATGTGTGTGTGTGTGTGTGTGTGGGTGTGTGTGTGTGACGCGCGTGCGTCTTCATTAACTTGTACATGTCAGTAAGTGTATGCGACCGCCTTGATTAGCCCAACGACTGCTGAACTTTTCGTTTACAGCGTTCAACCAGCGTATTTAGTGAAAAGAACTGCCTCCTCCACTTAGCTCATTAGTCGAGTGAAGAATGGAAGATTTGGTTTATTTATTTTATTCTTTGTTTATTTGCTGGGTGTGTATCGAAAAAGATGTGTGGGTCTTTATTTATTTATGCTTCTATGAAGATGTGCGGCTGGTGTAACTGATATTGGCACAGAAAGCGGAATTGGCTAGCCGAGTTCAAATTCCAGGCTCGTTCGCTGCGGTAATTTGCGTACATACTCTTGGTAAACGGAGCTTTCAGCTACATAACTTTTTTAAACACCGGTTCCCGTAAGATCACCGAAGTTAAGCAACGTCGAGTCTGGTCAGTACCTAGATGGGAGACCGCTTGGAAATACTATGTCCTGTAAGCTTAGATGTCCGGATGCTTTAATGGATAATGGCCAGAAATTGTTAATATGATGGATGCGATTCGATTTGGAACAATGTCATCGCTTGATCCCTTTTCAAATATGGGCAGCACTGATGTGGCTTTTTAGTCCTGCTAGGGTCTTAGATTGTCCTGCGCAGATGTAGAAACGTTTGGCGTCTTTTGCAGTAGTTGTTGCATAAATTCCGGTGTATAATGAATGACTTCTATGTATGTGTGGTGTTTTTGATGATTTCTGAAGTATGTCCTACTTAGACAGACGCCATCACATTCATTACACGTTAGTTCAAATTTTGTAGCCATATTTTCAACAAAATTAACATCATGAGCCTTACAAATATTTCTCTTGTTTTTCATGCTCAACACGATTCTATTCAAAGTCTCTCTTTCCAATGTGAACTGCTTTCCTCCTGGATGGACGATCTAGACCTACGTTTTCCCAGTCACTTGGCATGATGTTCGCCTTCTTCAGTGTGCTCTTGATGCAATCTTTATGTCTTTATTTTCTATATCACCGTATTGAAACTGCTTAGAGGTCTTATCACTCTTCATCTTGATCACTCCATCGCAACCAGCAGTGAATTAACATAGACTCTATTCAATAGATTCGCCATTGTCTTCAACCATGGCCTCAAAATGACTTCGGAATCTCCTGCATCATTTCTGAACGGTCTCCTTGTTTAAGCTGGTGAATGCTGCCATACTCCTTATCTTCAGTTTGTCTCTAGTGTACATAGTATTTAGGTGGCCAGATGTAAGGGGTGATGAGGTTGCAAAAATTGTTTGGCAGCCATGACTGGGTTCTCCTGCTTGTGTGGCATGGTGCAGAGTCTGCCGCCAGGCATAAGATTTCCCAGCAGCCACCCTCTTGACCCAAAGGGCAGCACTACCTCCTCACAATACTTGATGTAGGCCTCCATGTTGACTTAGAGACCCTCACCAACAAATTCAGGAGTTCTTTTCTTATCAGAACAATCAGAGTGAGTTTTCTGAGCTGCCGTACCTTCGTAATCACCATTAGACTCATCCAACTTTTTTAGAATCGTTTGCACTGTCCTCAGATAGACACCTGAACACTCTGAAATATTCGTATCGGAGCTTCTGGCGCGAATAACAAGCAGTACAGCATGCCGTATCCAAATTTCTGGCGGAGTGATTTGCATCATGATGCTCTTTTTCTCACAGACGGTGCCCAACTGACCCTACCTTACTGTGCAATCGACAAAATCAAAAACAAACAACGCGCATGCGTATAATTAAAAATATATAATAGTGATAATTTACCCATCGCACCCTGTACAAACACACAAGAATTATACACACGAACGATGCCAGTTGAGGCAAATACACATGATGTATATTTAACCAATGAAAAACAAACAGCACAAACTAAAAATACCAGAACTATATGTTCCATATTTTATTTCTAATGAAGCTTAAATATAACCGTAATATGTTAAATTTATAAAAGTTTCCTATTTGTTCCTTATTTTATCATATTATCTCCCATATATATACAGTCACTTAATATTTATAGTGAAAAAATAACCTATTTCGGAGAGAGAGTGAGAGAGAGAGAGAGAGAGAGAGAGAGAGAGAGAGTTTATATGTATCAGAAGATCGCACTGGAGCGTTAAACTGAGTTATATACATTTATTTATTTCTGTGGCCACACTATCTCTCGCTCTTTACACACGCGACCGCGCGCACACACACACACACACACACATATATATATGTATATATATATATATACCGAGTGTAACAGCAAAATTGTCAAAATCGTGTAACTGTCCATCCCACAAAATATTTAATATCACAAAAAGCATTAAACTAATTAAGTTTCTTTTTTCTAGGTTATCAGATTAAGACGTTTAGCCATTTTGACGCCATTTATCGTAAAAATCACTGAAAAACACTTTGAGTTATTCAGCTAGAAAGAGAGGAGGTTAAAATTGTTTTGTGTCGGCCCCAAAATATGCCTTCCTAACTGAGTAATGGTGAGTAAAAAATCATCCTGGTCTTCAGTAATGGTACCAACATTTATATTCTGGCTTCCATCGTCAAGTTCCAGTCCGCTCAAGAAGCATCAAGAGAACGGTAGATAAGTTTTAAAAAGAGAGATCAGTAGAGAGGGAAAATGGATCAGGAGGTCACAACAGGAAGAAGGATCATCATTTCAAACTAGAGTTAAAAGAGATCAATTAGAAAAGATCCAACTCAATCCATGAGATGTTTGTTACGTGAGAGAAGAGTTTCAGCTATGACAGTTCAAAGAGCAGTGAAAAAAGTTGAAAATGAAATCGTACGTGAAACCTGTGAAGCACCTTGTAACTCCAGGACAGAAGGTTAGAGCATTGTCGTTTGTTTTATATACTGTTTTGTGTTATTCATTTATTATTCGGACTCACATTCGAGTTCGCAATAACTGTTACGGGATAAATATACCGGGAGACACGTGTTTTCTACATAAATACAACAAGCATTCCCCCAAACGGCTCGCAGTAGATTGTTCGCTTTTTAACTAATATACTAGTGTCAATTTCAGTCGCTGTTTTCGATTGTTCATTTATAATTTAAAATTTTCAAAATTTTCTGTTTGAACATGAGCTGTTTTATGAGCAAAGATTTGCATTTATGGGTTCAACAGGATTTTATGGAATCAGATTTCAAACTGAATTCAATGAGGAAACATTTATATTTCAGTACAGGTTTTCTTGTTCACGCTTTAAAATTAAATTCTGCGAGGTGTTTATGGCCCAGTATGCATTTATGGAGTAAGGATTTCAGATTGAATAATCTTACATTATTCGGACCACTGTCTTCCTCTTTGTTGCCATATTTATCACAACGTTTCGACCCGATACACCGAAAATATGGAGACAAATTGAAAAGCTTTGTAATAAATATGGCAACAAAGATGAGGACAATGGTCCGAATAATATAAATAGTGTACATAATATCTCATCTCGGAAATATAAACAGATATTGAATAATCTTGTTGTAACGAAACAAGTTCAAGTTCTTTGGTTAATAAGTAACAATAAAAACATGCCAAAACTAACAGCAGTCTTCATTCTTTCTATTATCTTCATCAGAATAGTCTGAAGTAGACTTTATTTTTTTTATTTCGTACGAAATGCTGTATTTTCCAATATATAATACGCACCAGTGTCTAACTTCAGCTTCATTTATATGCCAGGAGTTTTCTGTATCATGACACTTCGCAACTTTCTGTTTTTCATTGCTCTGAGTAATTTTAGACCATCCGTCTTTATCCGCGTTATGCTGTCTAGTCAAAAAAATTTCGTTAAATTTCGTTACGCTGTTTTCCCCTGCTTCTCTTGATTTCAGTATGTTCTCTGTGTGTTAAACTCTCCAAGCCTCTTTTCTCATTATGTGTTCCAAATATTTCTCGTTTTTATCAACATATTTCTTGTAATTCTTAATATTTTTACAATTTCCTCCTTGCTCAAATAGTCTATTCATAGTACAATAAAAAAAATCTCCATTTAAAGAACTAATGGAGAGAGTGTGTTCCTTATATCCGATAGTTCCATAAATCAGATAAATACGGAGAGTGTGAAGAAGGGACTAAGCATAAACCACAAGAAGACAGAATGCATGGTCATCAGTAAGAGGATGAGCCCGAAATGCGATTTGCAGGTCGGGAACACTGCAATCAACCAGACGTGGAAGTTTAAATATCTGGGATGCGTCTTGACAGAGGACCGTAAATTCGACACTGAGATCTGTAGGCGTATTGGGATAGTCAAGGACGCGTTCCAAAGGCTGACCAGAGTATTGCAAGACAGGAGGATTTCTTTGGTAACAAAGAAAAGAATACTGAGCTGTTACGTGACATCTGTCCAACTTTATGGCAGCAAATGTTGGACGATTTCCTCAAAGATGAAGAAGAGACTCGAGGCGACGGAGATGTGGCTCTACAGTAGGATGCTAAGGATATCATGGACCGAGCATGTGAGCAACGATGAGGTTTTCGAGAGAATGGAAATTTAAAAGGAAACTTATTCTTAACATCAGGAAGAGGCAGTTTAATTTTTTGGGGGTACGAGGAAAGAGGGCTTGGAAACTCTGATACTCACAGAGAGGGACAGAGGAAAGCAGCGCGTGACATACTTGATCGGCTTGGCGAGGTTATAAACAAGGAGAAGGCTTATACTTAACATCAGAAAAAGGCAGCTGAAGTTTCAGGGACACATCATGAGGAGGACCTGGAGAATCTGATTCTCACGGGTTAGAGGGAAAGAGAGACAAGGGAAAGCAGAACCTGGTCTGGGGGAGGAAGCAGAGAGAAGGAACTTGCTGAGATCTGCAAGGGATAGAGGGAGGTGGAGGGCCATGATCACCTACGTTCTGAATGGACATGGCACATAAAAAGAAAAGATTTGTAAACCACAAGTGGTTCCTTAAATCCGATATTCCTCAAGTTCAGCGACGTCTAAATTAAAGTTGTACTGAATTCTCTGTCAAAACAGAATCTCTTCAAGTTTATTTTTTATTTAATGTCGTATAGGTGATTAGATGCTATATAACAGATCAGCACTCTTGTCTTTTGTTTCTTTTTCTTTCTTTCTTTTTAAGGACATTTTTTACATTTCTTGATACTTTGCTTAGTTTCTGAATGCCATCTTTCGATATTCCAATGCGTCTTTAGATTTCAATGTCACAATTTTCACCTGCCTGTTACTACACTGCAGAGTTAAATTTCTGTACCACTCTAATTTTCACGTCCCCAATATGTAGCTCACACGTTGGGGGGTGTTTGCAGACAATCAAGGATTCTGTCTTCTTCTAGTTAATAGTTAGTCCTTTCTTCTTACTTTCCTTTATTAGATTTTCTAATAGTTTTCTTATTGAGTCTGACATCAACACAATGTATTTTATGTTGTTAAGATTATGTAAAAAATAATAATTTTTGGTAGGTGTTTTAGTTAGCGGTAGCGATTAAATAAATCCGATGAGAAAACACATCTTTGTTATTCTGCATGCAAACTGTCCGAGGCAACGGAGATTTGACTCTACCGAAAGATGGTGAGAATGCCATAGACACATTATTGCGAGGAAGAATATTTCCCTACAAGTTTGGACTTAGACGTCAAACGAAAGACAAAAAACAATCCTACATCAAGAGGAGTAGCAGCAGGAGCAGTAGCTTTTGCTGAAGACAGTCATTCACGGGTAAACATTATCTTCCCTAGTTTCTATCCTACATTATGTTTTCCTGTATCAAAAGGTAACAAACATGTTGTTAAACCAATTCCGGTTTTTACTGTTGTTTTTGATAACTCAGTTACAACACATTATGTGAGCAACGAAGAAGTTTTAAGCAAAATAAAAGCAAGCAAAAGGAAACTATTCCTTAGAATCAGAAAAGTCATGAATTCCGTAATGAGGAAAGAGTGTTTGGCGAATATGTCAGTCGCAGTACATAGCGAAGACAACAGAGGTAGAATGACATCGAGTAACCTACTTAACGTGCTTGTTCAAATAAGTGGCAGAACATCGACTGGGAGGAATAATAAGAGAGCAATTATTGCTTAGAGCTACAAACGATAGGACGTTGTGGAGAGCTATGATCGCGCACGTTCTGAAGGGACACCGCACATAAAAGAAAAAGAAATGTTATGGATTACGCAAACATTTGGATACATAGACAGGACACAGCGTATCTATACATAAAATTCTGTGACTTCCGTTAGTCTGTTCGTCCGTCCGTCAGTCACATCCTCTAAAATAGCCATATATCGACCGATCGGAACCAAATTTTGGGAAGAAGTGCAAACAAGTAAGGGGCTACAAAGTACGATAGGTTTTACTAGGGTACGTAGCTTAGTATAATAAATTTTCATTAATTGTTTGGGGAAAAATTAAGTTTTATTAATTAATATACAATTTTAAAAACAATTTAATGATCACAATAGCAAATACTGATTTGATTAAAATGCAATATTGTTATTTGGGGGAGGGGGCGGTGTGCATATCTTTTCTTTAAGTTTTTATATATATTTAATTCTGGTATATAATGCACAGTAGTTGTGCTGTAAATATAAACACAGTAGGGAGAGTTTTAAATGGGCAGAGGAAGCGATAACTTCAACAATACTAAATACTGTGAGAACAGACTGGGATAATAGATAGATAGATAATAGATAGATAGATAGGATAGATAGAACAGAATGGGATAGATGGACAGAATGAGATAGATATATAGATAGATATGGACAGAATGAGATAGGTATATAGATATGACAGAATGAGATAGATAGATAGATAGATAGATAGATAGATAGATATGATAGATAGATAGATATGGACAGAATGAGATAGATAGATAGATAGATAGATAGATAGATAGATAGATAAGATGGGCAGAATGAGATAGATAGATAGATAGATAGATAGATAGATAGATAGATAGATAGATAGGAACAGAATGGGATAGCTATGGACAGAATGAGATAGATATATAGATAGATATGGACAGAATGAGATAGGTATATAGATAAGGACAGAATGAGATAGATAGATAGATAGATAGATAGATAGATAGATAGATAGATAGATAGATAGATAGATATGGGCAGAATGAGATAGATAGATAGATAGATAGATAGATAGATAGATAGTTAGATAAATATGGGCAGAATGAGATAGATAGATAGATAGATAGATAGATAGATAGATAGATAGATAGATAGATAGATAGATAGGACACAAAACCTTGCATTAATGAATTCGTCTAAGATACGAAGTTGTGAGCCAGTAGGCATCATAAATACACACTAAACATAGCTTAGTCTGACACAGAGATACGAGCGTAAAGATAACTGCAAATTATTACAGTATTAATAGTCTGTGAAGCTCACTACGCTAACTGTTACGCTACGGCAACGCCCCCAAGATAGACAAACAGATATGAAGCAAAAAATACGCGGATCGATTTACACGCGTCCAGTTGATAAAGAAACCATCGAAAGGAAATAAAATCTTACCCGAATTATTGCACTTCGTTGAGCATCAGAAAAAGTAGTGAATTCTTTTGAGACCCGGATGGGTATCCGTGTATTCCTATGGATGAACTTTGTCATTCTATGACCAGCAGTCTCAATTCCCAGACTAGCCCGAACTATTTCTATTAGCGATATTTGTCCGAGAGATTCGTCCGATTGACCACTGACGATGGCGGCCTTTAAGGCGGCGCCATAAGCCACAACTTCGTCCGGATGAATATCACAAGTAATCCTGACATCTTTCATAAATTCTTCGAGAAGCTTCCGAATTTTTGGAATACGTGTTGATCCTCCAACCAAAATTAGTTGGTCAATGTCGTCTTTTGTCATCCCAGCGTTTTCAAGTGCCTGTTCGACTCGTCTGATTGTTGATCGAAACAGATCGACACACAAATCTTCGAAACGTGCGCGGGAAATCTTCGATGAGAAATCAATTTTTTCAAAAAGCGAATCGACTTCTACAGTTGCCTCCATGTTCGTTGACAGGTATCGTTTGGCGATTTCGCAGGCCTTTTTCAAGCGACGGAGGGATCTCGGGCAACTCTTCAAATTTCTATTATACTTTCTCCAGAACTCCTCAGCGAAGTAATCTACTATCCTAAGGTCAAAATCTTCTCCACCGAGATGTGTGTCGCCTTCTGTGGACCTGACCTCAAAAATGACATTGTCCTCGACCGTCAAGATGGATACATCGAACGTTCCACCTCCCAGATCAAACACCATTATATTCTGTTTGCCGCAGAGTTTCTTTTCCATCCCATACGCTAATGCAGCCGCCGTCGGCTCGTTGATGATCCTTAGGACATTAAGTCCGGCTATCTTTCCTGCATCTTGAGTAGCACGTCTCTGAGAGTCGTTAAAGTAAGCAGGCACTGTGATCACTACATCGTTTACCGTTGTTTGAAGATAGGCTTCGGCTGATTCTTTCATTTTGTTCAGTACCATTGCACTGATTTCTTCTGGAGAGAATGTCTTCGCTTCACCGTTGAAATGGACAATGACACGAGGCTGGTCGTTCCGGCTGACTGTTGTGAATGGCCAATGTTCAATATCTACTTGAATTGATGGGTCGCTGAACTTGCGGCCGATAAGCCGCTTCATGTCAAAGATTGTATTTTTCGGGCAAGTCACTTCCAGGTTTTTGGCATTTTCGCCGACGAAACGATCCGATCCGATGAAGGCGACACAACTGGGAGTCGTACGATTGCCCTGGTCATTGGGAATTATTTCAACTTTACCATTGCGAAATATACCAACGCAAGACTGAGTTGTTCCCAGATCAATTCCGATTACAGGACGGCTGGCCATTTTGCACTGTGCAAATCACTCATAGATAGATAGATAGATAGATAGATAGATAGATAGATAGATATTCAACTAAGAAGTATATAAATCCAATTAGTCATTTATCAAAAGAGATTGATTAAAAGATTTTTTGTTGTTGTTGTTTTTGTTTTGTTTTTTTTTGTTTGTTTTTTTTGTATTTTTTGCTTGTGTTTTGTGTGGATATTTCTCTTGAATTGTCTATTGCGTTTGCCTAAACCTTTGTAGATTTTTCAGGTAAATCCAGTTTCCACAAAAACACAAGGATTTTCTCTTTTGTGCTATCTTCGTTATAGGTTGGAGATTTTCCAGCAAATGAAACTCCCCAGTCTGCCTTTGAAATCATTATGGGCCTAATTTTGGTAGTTAGTGGCGTCCAGTTCATCATTCAGGTATGCGACTGTCCCATTGGCTAGACGACAGTTGCATTGTGTCTACATATTGAGTATGTAAAAGATTACTGAGGCAACACACCGGCGCTTTGATATTCATTAGATGACGTAAGATGCTGTTGTAATTCAACAAGGACTATTTTAATTTATTCATTTTATTGGACTTTTTCTCTGGTCTTTCACCAGAATCAATTAATATATTTTACTTTACTTTCATTGACTCTTTTCTCACTCTCTCACTCTTCATCTATTTTTTCTGCTCGTTCTTTATTTATTTATTAAATTTAGTTTATTTTCTTAACATTTGTAACATTTGTTTTAAATTTCTGTTTTCATTTTTATAGTTTTTATTTTCTATCTCATCTCATTCGCCTCTCGCAAAAAATAATTTTTTGTTACTATTTTTAATATATATATATATATATATATATATATCACTATTATCTATATCTATCTATATATATATATATATATATATATATATATATATATATATATATATCACAGTGATATATCTATCTATCTATATATATACATCACAGTAAAATCTTTATCTTTATATATATATATATATATATATATATATATATATATATATATATATATCAGTCCAATCTTTCTCTCAATCAATTATCTATCTATCTATCTATCTATCTATATATATATATATATATATATATATATATATATATCAGTCCGATTTTTCTCTCAATCCGTTATCTATCTATCTATCTATATATATATATATATATATATATATATATATATATATATATATATATATATATATATACAAATGAGAGAAAAATCAAATTTATTTCTTTAGTACAGAGTTTGCTAACTCTGTTGCTGATTTTTAGTTTTTCTTTTTTCTTTTTGAATCATAGTATTAAAACATGAAAGCTTTTGTGTAGCGATTTCAAAATATTTTTATTATAATCTCTTATAATAAAAATATAATACACACACACACACACACACACATATATATATATATATATATATATATATATATATAGAGAGAGAGAGAGAGAGAGAGAGAGAGAGAGAGAGAAAGAGAGACATAAAGAGAGAAGGAGAAAGAGAGATATAGGTATGATAAAAAAAAAACACGTATACGCACATATACTTTCACGCACGTATATATTTTTCTCAGGTGTTATAAAAACGGTACGCAATGTTATATATCAGTGCTACTAAGTCCATATTAATGACTATATCCCACGTCGATAGCACGAATCAGAGTTAATTATTTATTTATGATTAATATCAGTCAAAGTCTTAAGTTCGAAAGACGAAAAATGAAAAAAAAAAAATATTTCAAAAAATTTTTAAAAATTGAATTTATGTAAACACGCTATGTATCCATTTTCTTTTTATTGTTCGTCTTTCAAACTTATAATTTAGATTGATATAAAACATAAATAATTATTTTAATTAAATCAGCACCGCAAGAATAAGAATTTCCTAACGCCTAACGGTCAGTGAGTATCCTGCACCTGAAGATCGCATATCCGCATGAAACTCGTGCTATCGACTAGGATAATTTGTATATTCATATATATATATATATATATATATATATATATATATATATATATATATATATATATAGTTAAACCTAGAGAGCCAGACAAACCTACCAAAAAGTTTCACCTAAGCGGATCGTCAGGGAAGGCTGATATATATATATATATATATATATATATATATATATATATATATATATATATATACCAGTCCGATCTTTATCTCTCTCGTTGTGTATGTGTTTGTGCTTCTTTTGGAGAGGAAAGATGCAGGTATTTTTCACAACACTTTTAAATCCTTCTGATAGTCATTGATGTATTTTCTACTTGTAAAATCTACCATGTGCAATAACTGTTTTTCAAACCAACCCGAATTTATTAAAATGTTTTCTTTTTCTTAGTTTGATTTTCTTTTTCTTCGAATTCCGTTTTTTCTTCCACATTCTCTTTTTTTTTTTTTTCTTCTTCTTCTTCTTCTTCTTCTTCTTCTTCTTCTTCTTCTTCTTCTTCTTCTTCTTCTTCTTTCTCTCTGTCTCCCTCTCTATCTATCTCTATCTGACTCTTTTCTCCTTTCTTTCTTTGTTTCTTTCTTTATTTCTTTTTTCTTTTCCTTTCTTTCGTCCTTTTTCATTTTTTTTTTCTAAACTGTTCACCTTTCTGTCTTCGTCCTCAGTACTCTGAGAAAATTTAAAAAGAACATAGCCTTTAATCATCAAAACTATTTATTCTAGAGTCAAATTAAAACTACTTGATGTCTCAATTATATGTTTTAAGTCCTTCACACTAAAATGAAATCACGACACTGCTTTTAGTCGACTGTGGACAATCTCATTTGTTTTCTTCCCAAAACGTACTTTCCTGTGTCACGGTTAAACCTTTCTGTTTTCTCTCTCGTTAGAGTAATTTCTACCAAAACCTTTTTTTTTTTATATTATTATTATTATTATTATTATTATTGTTGTTGTTGTTGCTGTTGTTGTTGTTACGTCATTCCGCTTGCTTAACTTTTCTCGTTTTCTTTATTTCATTTCATCTGCCGATTATAAAAACACATAAAAGAAAATTATACGAGCTCAGATTGTTGCACGGGCAAATATGAAATTAAATTGCCGACAGAACCGTGAATTAGTCGGTGTGTAACTCACCGTGACAGCCATTTACTCGTGTTCACTCACTCTCTCTCTCTCTCTCTCTTGTTTCATGACAAAGGCCACATTAATGCTACATATAGTAAGGCCCGATCTCTCTCTCTCTCTCTCTCTCTCTCTCTCTCTCTCTATATATATATATATATATATATATATATATATATATATATATTAGAAGTCAAAACTCAGAGGCGACAGGCTGTTTCATGCCTGACGATTGCGTCTAGCATGAAACAGCCTGTCGCCTCTGAGTGTTGACTTCAATGTTCACTTTTATATTTATATTTACATATGCTCTATCTCTGATATTGAGCACTTTATCCCATAAATATAGCACACTTTAAAACTATATATATATATATGCTAAAGCAACAACCCAAGCTTCACCATTCTTATGTAAAACTTGATAGATTCTTTCTGCAATAATCGTTAATACATCAGCGGCTGACCTAGAGACAACTTTCATTTCATGATTTGAAAAATAAAGTAATTTTCTGTCTAATTCGTAAATTGATAACAATAACTTGGAGTTTCCGTTCGCGCTTGCCCCGATAATAATGATTCTATATTCGCGAATGCTGAATGAATAGCATATCGATGTTTGTTGAAAGAGAAGAGAAAAATAAAAAGATTTTAAATTAACGCATGAAATAAAGATAACCGTAAAATAATCAACTTCTCTGCGTTATTTAATGCCGAAATCTAAATTTGAACGTAATTGTATGCCTTCAACTATAGAAAAAAATTACTGCTAGTGATTTTACTATAAATATATATTTTTGGTACATTTTTTTATATAAAAATGCATTGTTGGCATTGTTACTATAAAAATCTATTTTTATATATTCCTAGTGTTTTATCAGCGTGTACATGGGAATAAAACCTATTAAAGGGTGGTTCCACGCTCCTCAAAACCTCCAATCTCTTGATCAGATGCCTTGCTGCCGGATGTAGTTTATCGTCACACTCAGGATTTAATGTTGTGGCGAAAGGATGGTAGGTTCGTTTTCAATTGTGACAGCGGGCTTTTTTAAAAAGAAAAGTTGCATGTTCTTACATGCAGCAACACAGTTTAGCCATCTGGTTGTGCATATGCTGCATTTCGGTTATAATAATGTTACGATGACCGCAGTATTGGAAAATCAACAACATTTATTCTGATTTCGGTTGATTTTTCATCTGGTGATATTCACATCTAACAAAAGGCCGCTTTGCTTCTCATTGCTTTACGGCCTTATATCCTCGTTCTGAACGCTATCCGATTGGTTGGTCGAACTGTAGCTCTAGTTACCAAGAGATTTTAAGTATACATCTATTTTTAGAGATGGTAAAACTTTTTACTTTAAAAATATATTTTTATACTATCATATTGTCTTGTATTGGGGGGTTCTCTATTTGTCCATAGCAGGGAACCTAACAGGTGCTACCACCCCGAGTCAAGGTGAACCTGGGAACGAAAGCAATTAAAAGATGGTTCAACGCTCCTCAAAACCACCAAACTCCTGGTCAGAGGCCTTGATGATCGATGTAGTTGGTTCGTCGTAGTAGTGTAAATTATAGCAAATTTATCTCGCTTAGGTACTGGTTAATGAGATCGATCGTGACCCGTGTTTGTAGTCTTGTGCTAACATTAAGCTTCTTCTTATTCTATGTGCCTTGTTCCTTCAAGATGTAGGCGATCAAAACTCTTCACAATTTCACGTCTTTTGTAGTTCTTAATAAATTTGGTCATTTTTGTGATCTCTCCTAAACCATACCTCGGCATCCATTTACTCAAGCTCGCACTGTCATGTGACTAGCAAATGTCCCAAACTGCATTACATCATTATGTACCAGATAAGGTGGATGGTTTTTTTTTTTTTCTTTTAAATGGATTTCTTAACCAGAAAGTGACGAATTCCTAGCGAATCCTCATTTTCAAATCCTGCTAATAATCAGTCGCAATGTTTTCAGATTTACATTCGATTCTTTTGCTATTAATGGCACACCTAAGCTTCGATCTGCGCTCACAAAGGTTCGCACTTTCTCCCCATTTGAATCCGTTGATTGTGTTTGGGACCGCTTACTTCTTGTGCTAATATACACATTTTGCCTTTTCCATAAACCGCCAGTTCCACTCAGAAACAGCTGATGACTACATCAGGTTGAAACACCAGTTCACGTATGATCACCGAAGTTAAGCAACGTCATGCCTAGTCAGTACCTTGATGGGTGACCACTTGGAAATACCATGTGCTGTAAGCGTGGATGTGCGGTGGTGTAATGCTTAGATATTGTGCTCATTCTGGGAATTAAATTGTCACATCTTGGATTTATAAACAGTAAATATCAACACCGATTACAGATAGTTTTGTTCGAAGGCATCATTTCAGTTGATAGCTGAGAAATATCAGCTTTTCATTCATTTTGAAAAAAAAAAGAAATTTCGTAGATTTTACGACATAAAACAAAAATCAATAAATATTGCAATAAAATTATTTATTAAATCAACAGAAGCAAAACAAAACAATTTATTTCGCCGAAAATGCGATCGACCGGAGTAACTCCGAAACGCAACACATTAAAAAAAAAAATACATATTCACATATGAAAATATAACATAAATAGTTTATAAAGTGAAATAGGGATAGAATTTCTGATTGCCGGTTCATTGTGTTATTAATAGTAAAATAAAGGGTTCATTATTTGCAAGTAATAAGTTCTATAAATAGGTTGTGGCTTGAAATCAAGCTTGATGACTGCCTTTGACGGCTTTTAAGCGAGTGCATATAAAATATAAAATGCTATATAATAAACCGAAACGACACAACTGAAAATTTTCAATGTGTGTTCATTATATCAGTGATAACAAAATAATGGATATATTTCATGGATTTATATTGCTTATACATAATAAATTAAAGTTTCAGATATTTAAAACGATTGACCGATTTATTTCAAATCAAATAAAACCTTTTGTAAAAGAAGAAAATTTAAATTTTCTGTACAATCCTTGACTATATATTCATATGGACGATGACAAAATTGTGATCATCTTATGAATGGGATTAAATTTTATTTAAATAAATACAAACTTATTTCAAATTGAACTTTTTCACCAGGTTCTTTTTAAAATTAAAACATTTTAACGAATATCAGACTTTAAAAAAATCTGCATAAATTTCTGTGTCATTTTCAGACATACTTGTAATTTTTGACCCGAATATAAAACATTTTTTATCTTTGGTGTCAAGAACTAAAAAGTTGATATCTTTCACTCACTCACTCACTCACTCACACACCCACCCAAACATTTACATATAACATGCAACCATAACGAAATTTACAATACTGAATACTAAAAATTTTTTTTTAAATTACTATTAATAAATACTTTCAATGCTGCCTTAATTTTTCGGCCATTTTAGATTGTAATTTTACATTACATCTGTTAAGTAAAAGTCTCTTTGAACGCTATCGAATATTTCCGAAGTGATATTGAAAAATGTCCACAGGAATTTATTACTTTGCAGATTGCATGAAAATCGGAAGCGTGCAGGCACAGGCAATCGGTACCCGTAACCACGTTTGGTAATATTGGTCGGATTCTTTGTTTTTCTTCCAAACGGCCATGGTTGTTGTGACAGGCTGGCAATTATTGACGCTATTAGCCAGATTACCGGCACATTTAAAACAACGACATTTGGCAAATGGGATTTCACGTGGGATGCGTTCAGGATCGACATCGATATGTTGCACCCATGGACAGACTGACAGGTTGGAGATGTTGTTGCTGCGTGTATCGATACGACATTGGTTGGTTTGTCTGTCGCGGATGCTTTTGTTGACCAACGAATCCGACGCTGTGCACTCTGGAGTTGATATCGTTTGAACAACAGAGGAGACTGGGGCTGCGTGCTTATCCTGACCGCAATGTCGAGCAAAGCAGACAGGCAACATCATAAATAAACAGAAGAAAAGCTGAAATAAAAAAAAAAAACATGAAAATATTTAGTAATTATAGTAATAAGTTCGTATATATATATATATATATATATATATATATATATATAATCTTAATTGGTGAAATAACGATTTCTTTGTCTGCAGAAGTGTTTATATTTAAAAAGGCACGATCCATGATACTTTGCACTTTTCTCTCACTCACACACATGCACACACACACACACACACACACACGCATATATATATATATATATTAGGAAAATTAATGATAAAGAGTCAAAAGCGGGTGACTAGCATCATAAATAAACATCAGAGACTGAAAAAATACATAGTAATTATATAAATAAGTTCGTATATATATATATATATATATATATATATATACTGATCATAAATGAAAAAGCTCACTACAACTCAACGACGTCAAATATTTAAAAAGAATTTTGAATTTATTTTATGTGTGCATAACCGTGTCGAATTTTGTAAATATGGAAGCCCAAACGCGACATTATTAGAAGTTAAGAGCGATGTGTATAATAAAGTTAAAATTTATTGGTAATTTTCTAACATTTGGTGGGGTATCTCTTTTCTTTGGAGATGAAATGAGTTTGGAGAAAACCTTTAGGAATATTTGCACCTGGATTAAACCAAACAGAATTCATTAAGATTTAGAAAGACTAGATCTTCCCCGACCTACCCAGTTATCTCCAGTGCAACATGACAAAGTTTTATGGTCTTGTAAAAGTTCTAAAATTGCAGGAGAGAATTCTTGCTATGTTTATATAAAGTACTATTAACTCCACAAATATTCATACCCTTACCAACGTTCAGCAAACAAGTTTGGCATGACATTTCAAAGCGGATAATTTGTTACTGTACAAATGGCAGTCATGTATATCTTATTGAAAAAAAAATGCAATTGAATAAATCAAAGCCAGTGTTACGAAAATGTCCTTATGCAGACGATCGGAATTCAAAGGAACAGACGGTACCAAAACAGAAAATAGGCTCCGATAAACCGCTCTAATGCCGCTGCTGCCGCTGCTGCTTCTGTAGCTAGTTCAGTTATGTGCCATGCGTGATATACGCGTAGGCGATCCTGGATCTTTCGATACATGACTGACGAGGCAGATTTTTTTTCCTGCAGTAGGTTACTTTCTTCGGTAGACTAGTTGCCATTCAAGGCTATAGAACCCAGGTCTGTCTTGATATTTACCCATAGCTGAGAGGGGGAGAAGAAGAGGATTCATACCTTTCCCAAGGGTATTAGAACGTAAGTGAACGTAATGGATTTGACAATTTGAAACATATTGAATTTAATGTGTTTTGCTGATGAATCACAAACATGAGATTGCGAATTTTGCTTATATATATAATGGATTTTGTGGAATTTAATTCCATTTAAATATTGGTTATATTTCTTTTGATAAATAAAATGCTGAGTATCTTGTGGATAGAGACGCACATATTGTAATATTAAGTTATTTGTATCATATAATAACCGTGAAAAGCACTCCGTCAGTTATGTGCTATGCGGGATACACGCTTAGGCGATCATGTATCTTTCTATACATGACTGACGAGGCAGATTTTTTTTCCCGCAGTAGGTTGCTTTCTGCGGTAGACTAGTTACCATCCAAGGCTATAGAACCCGGTCTGTCCTGATATTTACCCATAGCTGAGAGGGGGAGAAGAAGAGGATTCATACCTTTCCCAAGGTATTAGAACATAAGTGAATGTAATGGATTCGATTGGAATTGAACTCGGCTCGTCGATTTCTCAAATTTTTATTTTTCGATTTTTAAATTTTTCACTTTGTTTTAATTAAATCATTTCTTAGTTATCAACGAAGTTTGTTGGTTTGGCCTGTGAAAATGGTTTTCAGCGGAGACAAAGTAGTTACCCCGGCCGCAAAAATTCCACTCTTGAATAAACGGTGGCATCAAAACGACCACTCTGTAGAATCTATTTACCGTCCAGCTTGCTGATGCCGACATACGATGGCCGTGAAGATGAAAAAATACCGCCAAGTGACGACACAAAGAATACTATGTTTTTGTTATCACTGTGACGGGGTAATGACATATCGACGAAACGAGAATAGGGTCAATAGTTATATACTCGTAAAATAAAATCGAGTCAAAATTTATACCTTATATTTTATGGAAAGTTTGTTTGTTTTTTTTTTACTAATTGTTCACTCAATGCAAGACACAAGAGCCACTCAATGTGGAGGGTTACTGAATAAGGTTGTTCTATAAGCGGTATAGAAAGATTTAAGAGGTGCAGTTTATGAGGATATGTAGAATAATCGTTATATAGTAATCGTTAATCCTAGATTTCAGGTTAAGATTGTAGTGATTGGGGAAGCATCCTCTCAGGAGCCTATTCTACAAAGTAGCTGTTCTTGGGAAGAAGCTGTTCAATTGGAACTTTCTTTTCACTAATGGAATATGAGGGGAAACGGGTGCCTCTCTGAAGAAGGAAACGTACCTGAATGCAAGGCTTGATGATTCCAACATTAACCATATTTGCTGCCTTTTCAATGGTCTTGATTTGAAAATAAGATGAATTTGAATGATTATTAATGTTTTGTCTTTGTATGTCTCCGATGTCTGTGTTATTTTTCACAGCTCTTTTGCTTATGTCTTAAAACTGTGTTCGTTTTTGTCGTGCAGTATTAGAACGATTGTGTTTGGATGAGTCGTTTTAAAAAAACTATGACCATTCTTTAAGAAACGGCATTTTATAGAACTTACTATTTCCTTATTCGTTTCTACAATACTTTGGGGAATCCCATTTGACCATAGGAATTACTACCGAAGTTATTCTGTCAAAACTGCAGTATCTTTTATTTCCGGGATGACTAGACGCAGAAATTTTTCTAAGTGGAAAACTCTATAAATAAACTGTTACAAATAGATCAGGCATTGTGATTAACCGCTATTAATATAAATAAATCCTCGGCACGCCTTCTTCAAATATTACCTTCCCTAACGAGAGAAGAAAACTATCATGTGGGGATATATGAGGCGAATCTAAGCAAGAATATTATCTGGCAGATTGCGGATGTTAATGAAATAAAGCCGACATAATCAGACGAAAGCTCTTCCTTGTTTTTTGTTGTGTTTTTTTTTTTTTGTTCTTAATAAAATTCCCTTTCTTGCTTCTGATTGGGCGTTATCAGTATTTATCTTTACATAAACACCAATTTAGTTATTTTTCAAATTTACCGGGCCCTAATTCGGAAAGTTGTTGCAAAGTAAAAAAACCCAGCTCAAAGCTGTCTTTCACAGC